TATATATATATATATATATAAAGAATTACCATTTGTCAAGAATAGTAAGTCAATCTTTGGTCAAAACTGGTCAGCATTAATTACATGCCATTTATAGGAGTTTGTTACTTTTTATTATCAAAAAAGTTGGGCTGTTATTTAAATTTACTTTAGATTTTGTGATGGTTTGACACGATTTGCATATCAAAAGCTGATAATGCATGGATTGCATCAATTAAATTTGGTTATTGGTTACAAAAGGCTATTTTTAAATTTGATATAAATGTACGTCACGACTGTTAATTCAATTAAACATCGGGCAATTATATTATCCAATTTAAAACCAGATATTCGCCTAATACAATTGTTTTGTTTGGAACCTTTTTTATAATAAAAAATTACAACATGATTTAATAATAAAAAAGTGACGTGCTATTTTTTCTAACCATAAAATATACTTTTGTATTTTAAAAATATCGATTTTTTTTTTCTATATAATCGGCTAATAGCCTAATACATATGTTTTGATTAGCAGGTTTTATTTAACAAAATAAATTACGGCTGATTTAAGGGTAATAATATTTTTTTTAAAAAAATTATTTGTTTATTTCTTTTGAAAACATTTTTTCTAACAATCAAATTGAGCAGTTTTAATTAAAAAAAATAAAGTTGCGGCTGATTCAATTATTTTGTTTGACAATTATTTAAAATGAAAGATAATACACGGTTCTAATTTTGAAACAATTAAAAGTTTCATGATCATTGTTTATATCAGAGATTCGAAATAAGGATGATCTTCATATATAAATTGCTTTAATTGTAAAACGTGATGTATCCAATATTTAGATAGAATTATCACATATCATCCCTTACATTAATGATTTTTTTTTATATCAAAATACCAAATCAATTTTTTAAGGTCTTTGTTTAAATTAGAGATTCAAAATATCTTAATCTCCATGTTTACATTGCTTTAATTGTAAGACGTGATGTATACAAGATTTAGATAGATTTATCACATATCTTCCATAAATTAATGATTTTATTTTTTTCTAAATTTCAAAATACCAAATCCTAAAGTTGCGGTTGATTTAATTATTAAACGATATTTTGCAATCATAGATTCGGGTTATCTTCAAACTCAAAATTTAAATTTCCGATATGTAGATATGGACATATTATATACATATGATCCCTAAAATGAAGGATGTTATTTCATTAGAAAACACAAAATATGAACTTAAGATGTAGATTTATCATGTACGAGTGATAACACCTTTTTACATGCTATGAAAGTCATATTTTTTACCCGTGCATCAAAAGGAATACGCACTAGTCATTTTTAGAACCTACAATAAAAATTATTTTTACAACCTTTCTTGGATTTGGGTATTTTTATTAAGGGGCCATTGTTTATAAATTGAACAGTAAAAAAACCAATCAAAACTTAAATTTAACTCAATTTTAACGCAACCTCAATATCCTCAATATTATTAATATAATTAAATAGTATCAATCAATAATTATTACACATCACATCAACTTTAATTCACTATTTATTTACTCACATAATTCTAACTAACTATCATTTCCAATTATTTTTTCTCTACTTCACATCAAATTAATTTTAATTATCTTATTTTAATATTATTTTAATATATCAACTAACAGTTAACTATACCACATTTTTTCAAAATTAACTAATGTTAAAAGACAAACCAAAAAAAAACTACTTCAATCCATAAACAATCACCCCCTAAATATTTGCTTTAGTGGATAGTAGGATAAGTAAAGTAATATATATTCAAATCGGCAGAAATGGTTCGTTTAGTTGTCTAATGTCCTTTTTCGGTACAATAACTTTCACCTCGTCAATAACAGTACATTATGTTGCAATATGGTTCATTATTTTTGAGATTAATATCCTAAAAATAATACAAATTGCAACATAACATACTGTTTTTTATGAGTAATGTCCCAAAAATGATACAAATTGCAACACAACGCATTATTATTGAAAAAGGAAAGTTAATGTACCAAAAAAAAAAAACTTTAAACAAATAAACGAACAAAAATTGATTTTTTTTCTATTCAAACCCATCAATACATTGTTTTAAAATACAAAACCTAAACATGATACTCCATCTTATTCATTTTAAATGTCGTTCTGTGTTTTAACACTTAAATTAAGCAATTTTTTTCTTGCCAATATTAATCTTATTTAAAGCAGCTTAACATTAATTATTATTTTTTTTTTTTCAATTTTTTTTTATGTTCTTTTAAGAGAGATAACACATTGTCCTTCACAACTTTCCTTCCAAAATTATGTGTAGTGTAATAATTAAATTAGAGTAATAATAGAAATAATATGTATAAAAGATCTATAACGACATTTATTTGGTCAATGATCAATAAAGACAAAACTAGAAATCTATTAATATATAATAAGAATTAACATAATTCATTTTTAGAAATACTTTCCCGCCAATTTCATTAATTATTGCCTAAAAATAGTAAATTAAAAAATCTCTATTTATTAGCATACCTTTTTTATCTATTTTTTTTTTTAGGAATACAATAAAAAATATGGAATCAAAATCAAAATAAAACCTAAGAAATACACTTACCATACTTAATACACTTAATTTAAGAAATACCCTTACCATACATATTTTTAAAAAATTTTAAAATACAATTTAAAATATTTAATTAATAATTATCAATTAAAGATTCTTTTTAAGAATCAATCATATTTCTAATATATTAGTATTTACGTGAAAGTAACATAAATCAAATTTAGAAATAATTTCCCGCCACTTTCATTAATTATCTCCTAAAAATAGTAAATCAGATTTTTTTTATTAATAACATCAAATACTTTTATATTGGTAAACAATAAGGAATCAAAATCCGAATAAATCTCTTATTTATCGAAACAATTTGGAAATCTGAATAAATCATGATTTTAGAAATCGTGATTTTCAAACAATTTGAAAATCTGAATAAATCTCCAAGGAAAATCATGATTTTTATATATCATGATTTTAGAAATTTGTTCAAAATTTTATTTGCATGAATTTGAATCATAATTCATTCAGTCTATTATTATATTATTAAATTATTTGAAACCGCATGCTAAGATTTGTATATATCATATTTCTAAAATCATGATTTGTATATATCATATTTTCACCAATTAGACTTTTTTCTTCATTATCGATTTGAAAAAAAGAAAACGAATTTTATATACCTTATCGGTTTTGATAATACAATGTTATAATCATTATCATTATTTATTTTAAAAGATAGTGTTTGTCATTTATTTGATTTCAAAAGATGAAAAAAAATTCATAGTTTAGGTCTCTTTTTATTTATGCATTTAAACAAATTTATTTAAAAACTCTAAGAACGATTGGCAACAAAAATTTTTATATATTGATTCAAACCAACTAATTAATAAAATAGTCCATTAATCACGAAATTAAAAAATAACACACGATCACTACATTTCAAAAAAATAAGTTTTTTAGATAAACATTCATTTATATTGTCATGACGATAAACAAGAGTGAGTGTCAATCTTAGAAATTCGATGATTTCAACTGCTATATTTCCAATGTTTTTTTACCGTAGGAATTTCCGTTGGAATATGCAAATTCCATTAGAATTTTTGTCTCCACCCGTTGAAAAATCCACCATTGGAATAGTCAAATCCAACGGAAATTCCAATGAAAAATTTATTCCAACGAAAATAATAGTATTGAAATATCCGTTGGAATTGTCGTTGGAATAATTTCTTTTGGAATAGATTTCTATTGGAATTTTATCATTTTATTGTAGTGTGCCCAATAATCAAACTAATAATGTTGTTTACAATTAAGTTTTTAATAACATATGATATTTTCATACCCAAACATTTTATGAGCATTTTTCGCTCAAAATATTAATTATCTACTATAGATGGAAATAATATAAAATAATAAATAAAAAATAAATCATTAATTGAATAATTTTCATATAACTAGATTTTCGGTTTGTGTTTGTTTTAGTAA